GCTGGAAATGTTCTATTATCTTACTGCAATGCATCAATGTAATGATTGTCTTATGCATACAAGGTTTTGCAAGATGTTAGTATGTTAATCAGTTTTACACTACTATGACAAAATATCTAAAGAGAGCTAATGAAATAAAGAGATGTTTATTCTGGATCATAATGCTGGATATTTATATCCAGGATGGTACAGACATTGGTTTGGGCATCTGCCAAGGACAGCATATAAAGCTGGCATGTTGGAGCAAATGGTCACATTTCAAGATAGGAAGCAGAAAAGTTGAGAGATTGGAGTCCCACAGTCCTCAAGAGCATGTACCTAATGACCTAAGGGCATCCCACTAGGGTCTACCTCCCAATACCACTACCCACTCCACACAGACATTTAGGAAATACCCATAGCAGTTATCAGTAGGAGGAGCTGGGTGATGGGTTCATGGGATCTCTGCATATTGTACCTTACAGCCACATTTGAATCTACAGTCCATGCAAAATAAAAGTTAAGGTTTGCTAAAAATGGCATTATCTCAAAATAATTTTTAAATGGCATTGTCCTCCCAAAGAATTATCAACCAAACCACTTGCTACCAGATTTTAGTATTTTTAATTTTCTTGTTCACACATGATAAAAGAGCTCACTCTAACAACTTAGTACAGAAGCATTTAGCAAGTGCTTGTCATACAAACTAGGAGCTATGTAAACAGGCAAAGATATAGATGACAGTGTAGATTTGGAAGAGAATATGTTCTAGTGATGAACAAGAATTTGTCTTATAGTTACTTTCCTGTCAGCCAAACACAATACCCAACATCTGCAAATTAAAGGAGAAAAGGTTTATTTTGGCTCACACTTTGTATAGGTTTCAGTCCATAATTAGTGAGCTCCAAATCAGTATGGCACAGCAGAGAAGGATAGCAGAAGATGGTTACTCATGGCATTAATTCCAGGAGCAGACAGAGATCAAGACAGGATGAAGACAGACCCTTCCAGGCCACACTCCCAGGGAGCCACTCCTCCTACCAGCCTTTACCTCCCAAAGTCACATTTAGCTATAAACTCATCAGTAGATTAACCCACTGACAAGCATCGCATGCCCATGATCCAATCACCTCCCAAAACCCCACCTATGAAGGCATGAGATTTTGGGGAACATCTAGATATAAACTATTAACAGAACTACAGTGTGAACTCAAGATATTTCACACAATTCTTGCCAATGATTGTAAATATTTCTAAACAGAGCACAGGCATGATCTGCCCAGTGGATGACCAATCTACTACTCCCTTACTGTCTGCCATGTTGCCCAGGTAGAAAGAGGAGAAAAGGAGAACATGCTACACAAGGACATGCCACACACACATTCACTCTTCTCTTCTAAGTTCCTTGCTGCAATTCCTCTAAATATGAACACCTCAAGGAAGAATAGCAAAGAGGGCTTACCAACACCTTCAGCTGCCACGCCTCCTCTTGCTGGTTATAAGGAAAGCCATGCAGCCCTCTCATCTTACCCCCTCAGTTCTAATCTCCCTCAGCCTTCACAGAACCCATGACTCTACCATCTCTTCCCACTCCTATCCCCAAAGCATTTCTCAAATGCCTCTTTGCCTTTAAAACACACTTATCTCCTCCTAAGTTTGCTGGAGTCCTGCCATAATAGTCACATTCCAAGAAAACAAAACCAATACAGAATGAATTTAATTCATCATTTGTGAATGGCCTTGCCTTCCAGGAAAGCTCTCTTGTAACCGTAGTTCATTGCTTAATGATTAGGTTACTTTTGGAAATTAAAGGTTTAGTTTATACTCAGAAACTTAATATTAAACTACTATTCACACCAATTGGGCAAGAACTGCTTTCACCTTCCACCTGTTAACGTATCTTGCCAATCTGGCTTTAAGCTGAAAGGCAACAAGTGAAGTCTGTGGGCAGTCAAAACAGTATCACATGGATGCTAGGGCAATCTGCAACAATGACAATGGCCTCTTCTTTAATTGGCTGAATTGATGTGGCTGACAAATTGATTGGTCAGGTTCTGCATCTTCCATTTCCCCTCCAGGCCCTCTGCTTCCAAAACTAGGAGTGGTAGAAAGAGATCAGTGTGCTTTGCACCAGAGTCACCTGCTTTATTCAAGCCCATAGTCTCACATTCTGTTCTAACAGATTTAGTTGGTTTCTAAATTCACAGCTAATTAGAAGGAACAGTAAGAAAGCATTTTATTCATTCAACAGCCATCTGTTGAATCCCTGAGTGCCAGGAACCTGGAAATAAAGCAGTGACCAATGTACAGTGATGTCTATCTTCCTTGGTTTAGAAAGAAGAGAAAGGTCAGAGAATACAAATTAAAATAATTGTAAGTGAAATAACTACATGTGCTACTGTTCACGAGGACATGAGAGTTGAGGATCTTGCACTTTATCAGGATTATAAGTAATAATGATCCTTTCCAGTCCTGTATAAACATAAAACAAAGATCGCAACCAGGCATGCTGGCACACACCTGTAATCCCAGCTATTGCGGACGGTAAGGCAGGAGGATTCTGAGTGTTAGATTGGCCTGGGCCACTTAGCCAGAACACCTCAAAGTATGATATAAAAAAAAAGAGTTGGGGGTGTAGTTTAGTGTCAGAGCACTTGCCTAGCATTCACTGAGGTTCCTAGTAAAAAAAGCAAAGAGAAGGGGAGAATGGGAGAGTAGAAGAGCAGGGAGAAATGGGGGGAAGGCAGAAGAGGGAGGGAGGCTGGGAGATCCCAGATGCCGGCTTGTTATCATCTCTGTGTTAAAAGCTAAAAGCTATTCCAAATCCCCGAGTAGAAACAAGTAGACAGCTTTAAGGTGACATTTCCATAGATGGAGATCACTGAGAAGTGAGAAAAGGAAGCACAAAAGCATGTTTTATTTTGTTTTTTAAAAAGCATGCCTTACACTATTTTGAAATTCAGCCCAGGGTGGGCCCTGTAAAAAGAAAAGGTCCTCTTTCTTCTCCTCCTGGTCAAGATCACTTAGCACTCTGCTCCCTGAAATCCACAGTCCTTACACCATACTTTTGTTTTAAACAACTTTTAGATTCATCTTGGCACAAAACCACATGGAAAAATCCTCTTAGGAAAGTGAGGTGTATTCTGAGCAAGCAACCAATAAATTGATGCTATTTGAACTGGAGATTGTGCCTAGTTCATGGCAAAACTCCCACTAGCTTTACTTTCTACAAGGTTGAATGCAAGTCAAAATTCAGCCACACCAACTAGTCTCTGACAAACGATAAGGAAAATTACATTACCAAAGGCATCTAATATTTTCAAATCTGAGATAGGTATTGATCTGCCCCCAAAAAGAAAAAAAAAAAAAACTCTGAGTTATTGCTGCAGAAGAAACCTGGTCTTTCTTTTTTTTTTTTTTTTTTTTTTTTTTTTTTTTTTCCTTTTTCCAATACTGGGGATTAAATCCAAGGGCACTCTACCATTGAGCTGTATCTCCAAATTTTTTTTTTTTTTTTGAGTCAGGGTCTCTCTAAATTGCCCAGTCTGGCCTCAAAATTGTGATACTCCTGCCTCCTGACTACCTAGCATTACATGGAAACCTACATATCTTACACTTCAAATGCAGTTTTCCCAAATATAACTCCAACATTATTGTTGTTTTGCCTGTTCCAAAAAATTATTCTGACTGATGACTCTAAACTTGTTCTTTACAATTAAAATTCCACTTCTTCCCAAATATTTCATATAGGCTGACCTATATTAAGTTTGTAACTGACGTCTGAAAGCTGCCACTGCCTTCATTTCTAAATACCTACAACTGGAAAGGGGGGTTGAGGATGTCCAAAAAGGTAGAGATTTGTAGTCTAGGTCTCGCCACAAATTAGGAAGGAGTGATTTTAAAGGAGTAATTCTAAAGGAGTAATTTTTTCTAAAGTCTAATCTTAAAGGAGTAATTTTTTTAATGACCTGTAGGCAATTTTCCATCAATTCTCTCCCTTTACCAACTCCTTTGTAACTAACCAGCAACTCCTTCATAAGCAACCACTACCAGAAAATCCTACCTTTAGCCTCTTGAGCATCAGCCCTCAAACTCTTTCATCTACCTATGCTGCGCCTACACCCTCTGTAACAACTTTGCGAAGACATTCACCCCATCTCATCATCTTTCCTCAAAGCCCTCCAATAACTTCCCATCTCAATGAGTATAAAAGTCCGAGTCCCCGGAATGGCCAACCTCTGCATCTCGTGGTCATCTCCTTCCATGGTCTCCCTCATTCCCTATTCCCACCTTCTTCCGCCTGAATGCTCCCTCCCTTCCTGGTGGAACTTCTCAAACATCACCTTCTCTTAACACCGCCTCCCTATTCAAAACTTCCAGCTGTCAGCTCCTAAAAATACTCTTACTGTATTAGCTATTGTTCCACCATAGGTTCCATGACTACAGGAATTCATGTGGTCCACTGCTGTACCCTCAAGGTGCAGAACTGTGCAAGTTAGCTGACAGGAGTTCAATAAACATTTTATAAAGCAGAGTCAATCCTTCGCTAGGATTTCGCACCTGTTCTCATCCAAGTTTTCAGTGAGGACACGCTGACCCTGTCTCTACCACACCAGATGCGCACTGCAGCACGAACACAAACGTGTTAAGAGTACAGCACTGAAAGCTCGAGGCCTATCAGCAGGTTAAAGAATGTGCTAAAACTTTTAAAAGGCCCGGCTGCTCCCCCTGCCGCTCCCCAGGGGCCATTCCCGGAGAGGAAGCATCTCCCCTACATTCCACTCAGCGGCCGCCGCTCCCACTCGCGCTCCCCAGATCTGAGAAGTCACTTATGCAACTTCCGGCCTCTTCACGTCCGGAAAGAGAAGTAGGAGGACAAAACGTAAAAGCCTATTGTTCTGCCTCGGGCCTCTCCCCTTTGCCCCTTTACCTGCCCTCCATACCTGCCCAGGTGTGAAGCCGACCTAACTGCGGCCCTCTCCCCCACACTCCCAAGCTCGCAGCACCTCCGCTCTCCCTACCTCCTCCCGGCTTCCCCTGCGGCTCCACCCGGCGCGTGCGCACTAAGGCTCTCGAGGGTTTGGACAGGGCTGACGCCGCCGGGGGAGCTAGGCACGCCTCTGAAGAAGCACCGACTTCTGATTGGTTGATGCCGCTCTCCCGAGCAAGGTTGGAACGCTTGGGCTGTGTATTTAAAGACGCTTGCCAGTCAGCTCCTACGCCCTCGCTTCCTGTCCTCGCCTCCTACTCTATACCCGGGAAATCCTGTAACGCCGCCGGCATGTCTCAGGTACAGCGCGTGCCTAGCCAAGCTGCGACGATGCAGCGCGGAGGGGGCCCGGGGTGGGGACCCTCCGACTGTCCGTTTGATGCCCCGCAGTTGTTCCTGGACCCTTGCCCAGCCCTGATGGTTTGCGCAGAGCCTTCTGCGCAGAACTTTCTGTTTGGGGGGGTTTTCAAAATTTGCTACCCACACCCCAGCTGCTGGAAAGTTGCCCGTGGGGTGGGCTTCACGTTGAGGCAGGCATGCGGGTGGGAAGGCAAGGGTCCTGGCTAGAAAGGGGGCGATTGGAGGTTGCACGAGTTGGAGGAGCAAGGACAGAGTCCCAAATCGGGAAGGACAGTGGAGTCGGTGTCCTCGGTGAAGTAGGGGCATAAGGAACCATGGCTAGGAGTTTGGAGGTCGGGGGAAGTAGGAGCCGAGTGCCTGGAGTGCTGAGAGAGGAGAATCGTATCCAGGGGGAGATGACCCAGAGACCTTTTTGTCTGCCTCCAGGGTAAACCCTTGTCCGGGCGGAGCAATGTGGAACAACCTCTGGCTCCTCCCGCCTGCCTCCCCCAGTCTGGGCACTGGGACAGAGGTCAACGCTGAACTCCCGGGCCTTAGGGGAAAGGGACAAACGGCAGGCTCCTGTAGCCAACACCCCAGTTCGTGCCCTGACCCCTTATCAGCTGTTTCAGACATGCTGTGCACCCCCAGCCCGTAGGTAAGCTTCACTGTGCCCCAGCCATTCCCCTGTCTGGTCTGGTGGTGACAGTCAGCCATTCTGCTTTTCCAGGGTGTGCACACCCACTTGGGCTGAGTTTTGGCCCGACTCCTTCCACACTATTTCCGGCTGCTGTCTTGGCAGTGCCAAAGAGTAGTTGGGGATTGAACAAGTGAACGGCTGTGCTTCCCCTCCTTGTTTTATTATATCTAGTTGCCCTGTGGAGGAAGGAGAGACCCTTGAGGGAGCTGCTTCCCCTGGCCAGCCTGACAAGAGAAGGACTACTTCTCCATCCTCTTCTCCTGTCCCTTGGTACTGTTCAGGCAAAGCCAGAACTCCTCCCCTCTCCCACTTAGAGATGGCCCTCATTTCTCTCCCCACTTCCCACTTAGGCTGAGTTTGAGAAAGCTGCTGAGGAGGTTAAGCACCTCAAGACCCAGCCAACAGACCAAGAGATGTTATTCATTTACAGCCACTACAAACAAGCCACCGTGGGCGACATAAATACAGGTATGCTGAACTGCTCATCAAAGCAGGCTCTGACCTTTTCGCTCAGCCTTCACTGGAAGACTGTGGGAACTGCACTCTCAAGCTGCCTGAGGCCCTACATACTCTTCAGGCAGGACATGGTCATAGTCCGTGGGATTCCTGGGGTTTAAGCTTGGGAGAGTTTCCCCAAACCCCATCTTCCTGGATTCTCAGTGACTCAAGTAGTGGAATTCCAATACTATTGTATTATCAACAGCAGCTCCCTTTGCTGGGGAGGAAGTGGAGGCCCCAGTAGACCTGCTGTAGGCTCTCAGCTCAGTAGTAGCTTTGCCGAGTGGCATTATTTCCACCCCACATGGGCAGTTTGACACTTGGGGCCATTGGGAACCTGGCCAAGCCTAACAGAGGAGTAGAAAAGCACCAGGCATCCTGTAGAATGTCACAAGTGTTTTTACTGGTCAGAGTCTATACCTTCCTGATGACTGTTAGTTCCCCATCCAGAAAATCTTGGTGCACATTTTGAAACTATGCTTTGATCTACCGTATTCTGTAATATTATCTTCCCAGCCTTGAGCAGTTTTCTTTCTGTCCCTAAGTCCTTAAGACGTGGTAGTATACAGAAGCAACAGCACAACACATTCCCTGCCAGGACACAAGAGCTGGCACTTGCAGCAGATTAAAAGGAAGTACCTCCTACTCCCCCATCTCTGTTCAGGAGAGGCATGGTCAAAGCCCCCAGTTTCACCAGATCTGGGGTGGATAATGGAGCAGCTCGGCTGGTTGCTGTCTAGCTGTAACCGGAGATACTGCCCAGAGCTGAGGATCATAGACAATGCCAAATCAAACACTGTGCTTCCCATGAAGGGCTTAGTTAAGGAATATCTTGTGGCAAAAATGTGTTTTACAGTGGATTGATAAACTGTCCTTCCAGCAGGAGAAGGGGAGGTGGCCTGAGGGACTAAAATGCCTTCTGCCAAATAGTACCTTCACAGAGCCTGAACTGTGTCCAAGCCAGGGGGATTTACTCTCATACAAGTGTAGGTAGCCTGGCTTGGCATCTTATTACCACTTCATCAGGGAAGTATTGGCTCTCCATAGGGCTTTACTATTCGATACAGTACAGTAGCCACTAACCACATGTGGCTATTTACATTTTAACTGAAAAGTTTGGTCTCTAGCCACTGGAGCCATATTTCAGGGACTCAGTGGTAAGTGGCTCCTGAATTAGTTGTTGCAAATATCATTCCCATGGTGGCAGAAAAGCCTGTCAGGGAGTATAGTGCTAGGATTCTAATGTGACTACAGGTTTAGTCACTTTCAGGTATCCCACAGAATGCACTTGGGGATGCTTGATGTTTTCCCAGACACAGTGTGGCAGGCTTTGGACACCCCAGCTGCTCCCCTTGCAGTAAATTAGGTCAGCAGGGTAGGGAGGGAGGGAGGTTTCTCTGATACAGATGATTACAGGCCTGGAAGCATAAATCAGGGTAGAACTACAAAAAACCTTGCCCTCAGTTAAAAAACATCAACAACAAAGCCCCTCCCATAATGACTGAGAAATACTCTAACAGTGTGGGAGAAAAACTGGGACCAGGATATGGACAAACAGTTCACAGGCAAGGACACCTAGAAGACTGATAATAAGAATAGAGTAGGAAGAGAAATTGGGTAACAGAGAGCAGAGGAGGAGAGCTTGATAGTATGGTGGTACCTCAGTTCACAAGTTTAATTCTTGCCGTGATTCTGATCGCAAACCAAATTGGACGAGAACCAAATCAAAATCAGTGTTTAGGTTCAATGTTGACCTTATGGGAAATTTGATTCAGTTCCTATCCAGTTTATGACCAGAATTGTGGAAAAATTTAAGTTTGTAAATCAAGGTACCATTGTATTATCTTGCCTTTGTAGCTTTTGAAGTTTGATCCATGTAAATGGATTTTTTTTTAACTTATTATGGTACAGTTATTGAAAGGGGAAATTCTGGAGGTATTTAACTTGCAATTCCAAAACTATCTTGTACTAAGAACAGTCCTCCTATTTTCTCTAGATTTTAAGTTTGAATTTCTTTGTATCTAGGTTTCCTCAGACAGAAGCTACTTTGTTAGACCTATATGACGGGCCCAGAAGGAATCCACGTAATAAAAGATGGCTTTCATGGAAAGAAAGTTGAAAACTGGAAGCAAATCTAATATCTTTTTTTTTTTCCTTGCTTCAGAGCGGCCTGGGATGTTAGACTTCAAAGGCAAAGCCAAGTGGGATGCCTGGAACCAGCTGAAAGGTAACCGTCCCAGTCAGTCCCCTCCTTTGTGAAGCCCAGTGGTGAAAGACTCTTCATCACTGAGTGTAAGGGTTCAGGGAGGGAAACCATGCAGGAGGCACATGCTGAAAACCAGCCTGACCTGTGCCAGAGTGGGGAAAACTGGGCCACCTACTTTCTTCCTAAGGCACATCTCTGGGCAGGGGCACCATTGGAGAGGAGAGGCTAGAGGGTCAGGCCACTGAGAAACATGCCAGGAAATAATGTTGGCATGGGCTTTGGACACATTCAGAATAGTGAGTGGTTTCCTGTCCACATCTCCCTCTCCCCCACGAGCCCAGGCAGTAACCCCTTAGTTTGAGTGGTGCTCCCCAGTTCCCATCTAGCAGAAGGACACATGAAAAAGGGGAATGAGGTAATGCATGTTCAGCCCCGTGTAGCCTCCATGAATGGGGCTATTATTTGCTGAACACCAACAGCCAAGAAATATCCAGGCTCCTACTAAATCACGTGCCCCCATGGCAGCAAGACCCAAAAGTTGGCACCAAGCTCTGGCAGCTTTTGTGTCCTCACTAGCTCATTGCTGAATAAGCTCTCTGTCCCTTACAAATGAGAAACCCATCAATTCAGAAAGGGCACAATACAATAAATACAATCCTAGGATTTGCAGTAGGGGAATGCCTGTGTGATTGGCCCTTTTCGCTAAGCACTTCCACACCATTCTCAGGCCCAGAGTGCTTCAGCACAAGCCCCTGAGGGCCGCTCTTCACTGGAGAATCCAGGAAACAGGGTGTGACGGTCTCTGAGGATTTCTTTGGTGTCCTTTGTGCTGCAGCAAGGAGACAAAGATTTGTCTCATTCCTCTTCAAGAACCAGTGGCTTTGATCAGAGCCTGGAACCTCTCATAGTTTCTCTCTGGGGACAAGAACGTGGCTAGCTACTTTTTCACTGCCAGCTTAGCAGCTCTGGGAGATAAAAGCACAACACAGAAATACATGAGAAGCCCAAGCCAACCATGAAATCAGCAGGACCAATAAAATTACTGCAGCCACAGTTGCCTGGCTGTGTAGAAGACCAAGGCTCACGCTGACAGCTTCCACACCCGGAGGATCGACCTCAGGCCAGCCCCACCATGTGTGACATGCCTTATGGAGCAGAAAGTTCCTTGGGTGCTTTCCATCTCAGACCTCAGCAGGTCTCCGAGATATAGGCATACTCCCACTTTACAGCAGAGAAACTGAGTCTTAGAAAGTTAAAGTAGGGCTGACTAGAACTCTAAAGCCAGCTGCTTTCCTACCATGCTACAATAATCCTGTTGATTCCTTCCAGGGACTGCCAAGGAAAGCGCCATGAAAGCTTATGTGGACAAAGTAGAAGAGCTAAAGAACAAATACGGAATGTAACAGACTGGATTTGGTCACCAGCCACACGTTTAACCTAAAACGATATAATGCCTTGTTTTTTCTAATACTGTGGATGATATGAAAATAGTTGGTTACTGTAGTTCCTCGGGGTTTTCCAGGATGTGGCTCTAACAGATTAGGGGCAGAAATGTTCACTGACCTGTCCTTTCCCCCAGTAGTTTTTATCTGAAATCAATTCAAATATATTTGTTACTTAAATTCTTTGGTCATCTGGTTTCTTAAAATAATTGACTGACCATGTTCCCATCTCTGGCCCCCACTTCCTTTTGCTGAAGGTGTCCTCTGGAGGGGTTTGGCCTGCCTTCCTCGTTACACTGCTAGGGTGTGAAGCAAGTGGTCTCACCTGTTCTCATTCCCCCCTCACGTGTCCTCAATCTTGGTGGAGAAGAAAAGTGTATTGGAAATGGCTTTTTCTCCTTTCCAATTCCTCAGCCTGAGGAAGATCAGGCAGGACAGCTGAGACTTCCTTCTTCAGGTATTTCCACTCTGTCAGGGTTTGTATCTCAGTGGTAGAGCCCAAGGTTAGCATGTACAAGCCCTAGGGTTCCATCCCCAGCAGCCCTCATGAAAAAGAAAAAAGACTAAATCAAAAGAAAAAAACACCTTACATGAAGCCTAAGGTGTTTCTGTCCAGCTAGATCTGACTCCTGCCTACCCTGAAGGCAGTGGTAAGCAGTCAGATTGTGGGAGAAGTCTATGTCACAGAATAGTGGGTATGGCACTTTATCAGGAATCTTTTTCCCCACCAGCTTTCAAACCATTGAGCACTTCCAACAGCTGTGTAAGTCAAAGACTTAGTCCATGCACAAATTTCCCTTCTGTTAGTTAACATTGCAAAGTGTGGATGAGAACTGCCAGCCTAAGTCTTCTAATCTGCTTCTGGCTTGGGAGAGGAAGCAGGCCAGCAGATTGGAGCCTGGGAATACAATACAATGGTGCAGTAGACTGGAGCCTGGGAACCATGCTGTGACTTACTACTGGCCAGAATCAGAATGGGCCTTAGACTTATGAAGACAGACCAGTGTGGCATTTTGCAATTACACTGTGCTGAGGCTATATAGTGGCTACCTGATATTCTCTTGATGGAAAAGAATTGTAAGGAAGTAAAAATGCATGGATCAAAGGCCAGGGACATCATGGCTGTTAATTAGTAAGGAATTTCTGGAGGCAGACTCTGACCCAGATTCTTTGTTTCTTCTGTTCTCCCCAGAGTTTTGGTGTGATAATTATACCTCATGATAGCAGTCTCCCTTATTCTTGGGAAAAATGTTCCAGGATGTTGCACAGATGCCTAAAATTATGGATAATGCCAAACTTATATATATATTTACATATATATATATTCCCTTCTTATGGTTTATATGTAACGTTCTCCTGTATTTGGAAGGTGACTGGTCCATGGGGTGCTGTGCTCACCGGTGAAAACTCATCCATTCATGATTTCATCCCAGCTGAATGTGCTGTGAGGCAGTGGGGCCTGGCTGGAGTGGTCACTGGGGGGCATGACCTAGAACAGTGTGTTCTTATCCCCAGTTCCTTCTCTGTCTTCCCTTCTGCCATGGCTGAGTACCTGTTCCTCCACCAGGTCCCTCTGCCATCCTGTTTATGCCTTGGAACCTGCTGACCATGGACAGAAACCCCTGAAACTTTGCCCCTGTGTTGGTTAATTTTCCCTCATTGCTGAGACAAAATGCCCCACACTCAGAGTTAAGGGATGAAAGGTTTGTTTAGCTCAGTTTGTGGAGGTTTCAGTCTATAATCAGCTGGCTCCAAGACAGGGTGGCAGGGCACAGGGGCAGCAGTTCAAAGTACCAGAAGACAACAAAAGTAGCAAGAGCAAAAGTGGAGGTGGAGCAAGCCTCTTTTGCTCCCTTCCACTGTATGCTGGCTGCCTACCCACACCATCTCCATGCCCTCCTCTTGCACAGGCTCAGGATGTTTACAAAGGATCCTGAGCCCCTGCTGAGTCACTTAGTTAACCTTCTAAACTTCTCATTTCTCAAGTTGACACAATGTATCAACCGTTACAATCCACCCCTTGTCAACTTGGCAACAGATACATTTCTTTAAACCCCTTTCCAGATTATTTCACACCGAACATTTTAACACAGGTTTAACAATCCTTAAGAATCAGTATTAAGTCTATCGACATTATATTACATTACACCCATAACATTCTGCTCCTGGCCCCTCAAAGACTCATGTACATCGCATGCAAAAGGCATTTAATCCATCTCTAAGGGTTGCCAAAGTCCTAACAGTTTCAGCATTGCTGAGAAATCCAAGTCTAAAGTCTCCTCCAAGATGTAAGGCAAACTGTTAGCTACAAGTCCCTATACAAATGAAAAGTTAAACATTCCCAACATTCAATGGCACAAGATAAATATTTTCATTCCAAAAGTTGCAAAGAGGGATACCAAGAATTGGGACCCAAACAAGTCCAAAATCCAGCAAATATAAAGACCTGTAGTTTCATGTCCAGCACCTGAAGTAACTTGTGGCACACTGTGAGGTCCAAAGGACTTGAATGACTCCACTCATACAGCACTTCCAGGGGTTACAGCTCCCCTTTCGTAGCCCTGCTTTGCTCACTCCTTGTAGCTTTCCTTAGATGATCCACGTTTCTGGCTTTTCCAAACTTCTGGGGTCTGCACTACACCTTTGGCTTCACACTCACAGTTTCATACACTGCCCTCTCCAGGGCACTGCCTGACCTCCCAGGCCTTCTGAAATCAGAGTGGAAGCCTTTTTAACCCCGCAATTCTTGCATTCTGCATGCATTTAAAACCAGCACCACATAGATGATGCCAAGGTCTGCTGGCAAGCTGGAGAAGTAGCCAGGTTTTCCTCTTGGCTGTAGGGTCGAGGGCCTGGATTGCTGAGCACTCTGAATCCAATTCTGAGGAAGAAATTTTCTATGCTGCTGCCATTCTGGAACATTGTGCTCTACAGCTTTCTTCTCAGAGCAAAGTCTTTCACTTTTGCCATTTTGAGGCTGCAAAGGGTGGAGACTTGCTACTTCATGTGATGCCCTCAAGTCATCTTTTATATTCTCCCATTTCTTCTCAGCAAATGAGATCTCCTCAGCTCTATTTTTGCAGTCCACACCTTTACTGGAGTGTCCTACCTGGCCAAACTCACATTTTAAATCATTCTGCTGGGCTCTTTGCTCTTGATTCCCAACAGATCTGCTGAAAACCCCCAACAATAGCCATGCCACTACCTCAACATTAGATTGCCTTGAAATTTCTTCTGCCAGATTTATTAGTCCACCACCCTTAATCTTAGTTTCAAGCAAAGTTTCTGGACATGAGGAAAATGCAGACAAAATTTCTGCCAAGTCATAACACATCATCTGGAGTCCAGCAGAAACCTACTGAGCCTGGTCTTTACTGACAGGATTTCTATCAGCCTTCTGGTCTTCTAAGCTCTGATCAGAATCTCCCATACAGAACAGCCTAAGGCATTCCAGCTCTGCTCTCTCAGGTGACATCTCTGAACCTTCCAAACTCTCCACAAGCTACTCCCAAGGCTCTTGAACCATGTGGTCAGGTATGGTCACAGCAACAACCCCACTTCTCTGGTACCAAATTCTGTCGGTTACTTTTCTCTCATTGCTGAGACAAAATACCCAAGACTAATTAAGGGAGGAAAGGTTTATTTGGCTCACAGAGTGTGAAGGTTTAAGTCCATAATCAGCTGGCTCCAAGGCAGGGTGACATGGCACAGGGTCAACAGTTCAAGGTGCCAGAAGATCGCAAGAGCAAAGGTGGGGGCAGGCCTCTGTGTCAGGTGACACAGAGTACAGACATGGTCTTGGGCTGATGTTAGCTGCTGATATGAAATCCTGTACTTGGCAAGATTGAGGAGTCTGAAGGAATGACTTGCCAAAGCAGCTCAAACCTCCACGTTGGAGTGGGGCCCAGGTGCATTGTGTTTTTTGCACCTGGGGAGATTGATTCTGGAGCTTCGCCAGGTTGGTGAGGTATTCCCCCTCCTCACCTGGTAGCAGTTATACCTGTTCCTCAGAAAGTGATGCCAGCCAGATGTCCTAAGAGTGAGTCAGCAGCAGCCTGAGGGGCATCCTATGGCTTCCACAGTGGCCCACACACACCCCAGTGGGAGCTCATGGGGTGTCACTGCAGGGATGAGGGGGTTCCTTCACCCTCTCTGTAAGGGGCCCACAGCACCTTAGGCATGTCTTACCTCCAGTGTGGCTTTGTGACAGACTGGTAAATCCCATTCTCAGGTAATTGATCACTTCTCCAGGAGCCTCAGTTGCTTCTTCTGTAAAATGGGTAAAATCAGTACCCCACAGGGTGAATCAAACAGGTCAAGTGCTTAGCACAAAGCTGACTCAACAACTTGCTGGATTTCTGGAGGTCTTCTAACACATGCTTACCTTAGTGGGTCCTGGACAAGTCCTGGCATGGGCCACACCTTGACAGTGCTAGAAAAGTTCGAGAATCAACCATGTAGTAAATGCTAATCATCCAAGTGTGTCCTCCCCTACCAGAGTAGTTCCAGAAGTTTAGAGGCCAGGGGAGAACACAGACAGTCACTGGATGGCAACACAAGAGGCTCTGCTTAGGCACTGCCCAAGTTTAATAGACGGGCAAGCTTTGTTACCTCTATAAGCCTCACTTTCTTCATCAATAAAGTGGGACTACGCAGAAGGTTAGTGTCCCATGAGAGCCAGCAGAAGGGAGGGAAAAGGCCTCAGGGGCAGCTGTTTTGACCTAAGCCAAGCTGGGAAGTTGTGAGGGGTTAGTATGAATAGGCAAATGATTGAAGGTGCTTAGAATTAAAAGTATTTGGATTTGAGGATAAGCTGAGAGAAATCACTTTCACAGTGTAGTGCCTTTGGGGTCTGGGTGAGGGCCAGATGGCCCTGTGCTTTTGGCAGCACTGTGGTGGAGAAAGTCAGGATGTTTCTTCCCTTATTTATTTCTGCAATCCCACACCACATCCTTTCTAAAGGACTGGAGTAGCTATGAAGAAACGGAAGTGAGAGATGTCTTGTGCTAGACCCTGACATGTGAAGATAACTAAGACACACGTTGCCTTCAGGAGCCCTTTATAAGCTCAGTGCAGCAGAGGTGCCCTTGGGGCCCTTTGCCCCTCCCAGAAAAGGGGAGACCCCCCTGCTTGGCCACACCCTGCCTTGGATACAGCTCCACCCTTGGAAGATGCACCAT